AAAACAATATGAGTATATAATAAACAAATATAGGTGGAGTAAAATTTTGAATGTACAAAAAAAAGTCATTTAATGGCAACAATAATTACGTTTGACACATGCAGGCTCCTAAATTAATGCTATCTTAATTTGTATCAATAACTAATGAACATCTGATTTTTAAAATGTTTAACAGGTTTTTTTTCTAATTACTTACCATAGCTGATCACATAATCTACTTTTAAGTATACACCTTTCATTCATATATTAATAGTAACTACATAGGCGCTCTTTTTAAAATTAAGCACAAAACAATGTTTTTAACTTGTTCATGTTTTCAGGCAATTTATGGGTAGGACAAGGGGAACAAAATTAGAACAAGCACATTGAAACCCTGCTACTTTTAGTTCTGAAAAATAACTAAATTTTGTATAAGCTACGGCATCACACACAGGATTTTCTATAAATATGTACAGTTTTCCATTGTAAGTCAGGGCACCGCGTAGATCCATCTGAATATTCCACATCTTTAAAAGGAACGTAAAATCGACTAACTTGTAGACGGAAGTCGAAAGTTTCCATAAATTACCGTTTGTCTGCAAAATGTAATGGTGGTTATCGTCTCGGAAGCTGATCATATTTTCAGCCGGACCTTCAAGGTTGTTAAGTCGTGTCCAAACGGGTGCGCTGAGATCTAAAATATAAACAGACGTTTCGTCTATACCTTTATGCGTTTCAGATGAATAAATAATTATATTGTTGTTAAAACACATTGCATTGCAGATGTTTGTATTTTCTAGAAAACGAATCAGAGTTTTAATAGGTGGGTCTTTGACTTTTGGGTCCAATTTATAAATAGCTTTGCAATCATTATTTAATATATAAATAACGCTCATATTCGCGATCATTATTAGGTGATGGTTGGGCAATAATGTAATGTGTTCCCAAGAGCTGTTTTTGAACTTTAGTAAACATCTAGTTGGTTGATCTTTATTTAGATCTTTCACTACGGCCGCGTACAGGACATCGTCACATACAACAATCTTTGCGTTCCGCCCAAAATCTTCACAATGTAATAGAGTATACCATTGTTCATTTCTGCAGCGGAATACATATGCTTTACCTTCGCTTTTAGCGAATATTCCAACATTATCAAACTCACTGCTGCTTCTATAAATTGCCGAGCTAGGCCACTGTCCATCTTTAGGATCTGTTATCTGGAGAGACATAGCATTAAAAATTATCTCTTTGGCTTCAAGGTTGTCTGCGAGGAGCCTGTGGCAGTAAATATTTTTTAAAACCTGATGGCTCACAAGGAATAATCTGACAGCCTTTAGAATGATAATAAAAAATTCTTGTGATTTTTCACTAGAAATAAGTTCTAAATTCGACCCATTGAAGGCAATGTTGTCTGTTTTTATTTCATTAGAATTGATAACTCTTTTAGTGCTTTCCAAACTACTTCCAGTCTTTTCAGAATTACTACAGGAATTTCCAGAACAACAACTGGATTCGGCTTGTTCGATTGTGTTAGAAATAATACCTGACGTAGCAACATCGGTAACAAACGTCTGTTTAAGTTCCTTTGTCTCTTCTGTTAAAGCTTCGATACATGGCATACAATAACACGGATCATCGTCGAGAAAATGTTCAAACCATTTGATCACAGATAATAGAACGATATCTTCGTTGTCAACTTTTAATTCAGGACTTTTAACTAACTCTAAAAGTTCTTCGAAACCTAAATCAAAAATAGCTTTTGTACCAATGTGTGTAAAATTGTTCAGCATAAACTCAAATGATTTCGTTATCATAGATGTCGAGCTTAACATTTTGCCATGTCGATAAATAACGCCACAGGTCTCAAAAGATAAGTTTTGTATCATAAATCTCTCGCAAAGAGTTAGCAAAAATTCAATCTGAAGCAGGTCTGCAACCTGCCATATTTCAATATAATTTTCATGTGTTATAACATTTTCCCCTTTGTACAAGCAAATTGAAATCAGTTGGAAAATGTTGGAAGAAACCCCATGTAGTGTTACGCAGGTCTCTTTAGATTCCTTCATGTTGGATCTGATAAGCGACCTGAAAAACTTGGAGCATGCGCCGAGAATCACGCGGTGACACCTGTATACATCGTCCTCAACCTTGACCTCGAGGTCTATTAGCTGGTCATCACCCCAGAGCAGTTCCACACATTTCGATACGGTAGACCTAATGGATTCTCTGCTTGTGGCATCCATTTAAACAATTTATTTATCCCGAATAATTTGGTTAAATGTGTTTTGCATTTAGTTAAACAGCCGAACTTGTCGGATAGTCTCAACTTTTAAAAGAGCTACCTGAGACATCAACTAAAAAATGCTTTTCAGTTTAATATATACATATATATATATATATATATATATATATATATATATATATATATATATATATATATATATATATATATATATATATATATATATATATATATATATATATATATATATATATATATAAGGTAAACGTCAACTTCATGTCTTTCTTTAACTTTCACTTTGTTCGTTTCTTTTAAATTTAAATGGAGAAGTGTTGTAAATAATAAATAATATATATATATATATATATATATATATATATATATATATATATATATATATATATATATATATATATATATATAGGCCTATATATTTCATTGCAATTGGTGTCACCCCTTACCATTTTGCCTAATGGCGACAATTTGTGCGCTAATAATATTAAACAACCAATTAAATTATGTGGAAAAAGCATTGTTTTCATCGTAATTTATTAGATTTCGTTGTCACCTCCTCCCCAGTCGATGATTTGTTTATCGGTTATTCAAAATAATCAACAAAACTTTTTTTATTCTGTAAAGTTAGTAGGTGGTGTTTCACTCTCTTCCGCCCCCCCCCCCCCCTCCCTCGGATGATAGTTTTAAAGTGTGCACAGTTAATGGTAAATATGTTTATCTATAGTCCGTTATTAATATAGGTTGATGTACTCTGATTAATCATTAATTGAGCTGGCAAAAAGCATATTTATTACTCTAAATATTTTGCAAATTTTGCAATTTTGTGCCCCCCACCTTAAATAGTGTAACCCTAAGCGATCCGCATCCTCTGCTCCAGCCTTGCGACGCCTCTGATTCAAGCTGGTTGTTGAAACATTATGTTGCAGTAACCCATGAATGGCTGTGCTTTGTTTAAGATTGTGTGTTCTGTCTTTAGAGTATGAACGTATGTGCCCTAAAAGTACTTTTTTAAAGATTTCATAACTTGCTAGGGCAATTAAGGGTCGGCAATAAATGACGTCACTGTTAACTATTTTCACATACCCTCCGTCACACATGGTCACGTCAAGATTGACCACTCCCTCTATAAATAACATCACCCCTCGAGCTACAAACCACCACAAAATTAAAGTTCAATTATTTTTAAACATCGCTGTATTTCTAAATTATTGACTGAATTCGAATAATATCTATATATATAATTCTCTTCTGGGAGCCGTTAGAAAACAAGCTGCAAGCGCCTCCTTGCAGTCCCCTCTCTTTCTCTCTATCACTATCACTACCACCCCCACCCCACCCCCACATTATCTGGTGAGCGGTGTTCTCTCTAAATGTTTACAAAGCTAAATGTTTACAAATCGTAGAGCCGTAGAGCCGGGTTTCTATTAGGGGCAGATAATTTAGTTCGATTTTAAACTTACAGGAGGTAACTAAGAAATAACTAAGAGGAGGCTGCTTTCACGGGGGGGGGGGGGGTGTAGGGTCGGGGTTAGGGGAAAGGGGGGGGGGGTGGTTAGTGTTTTTAAAAAAAAAAATTTCAGTGGCAGCATTGGTACTGTCGAATTCACAAATTATGAATTACTGAAAAGTAGAAAATAAAACAACTAAATAGCGGCGTATGATACGCTGCGGGTCGGCTCGTAGAGTATATTAGGTTAGGTTGGGTTAGGTTAGCCTGAAGCCCCTCCTGGGACAAAGGCCGCTGACAAGAGCTTTCCAGGCGTCTCTGTCCTGGGCTAGTCTCTCCAAATGTCCCCAGGTGTATCGAATCTTCTTGGTGTCTTAATATAGAGTAAATTAATCAATCATAATAAAATTTCCAAAAATAGTTTTCAAAAAGTCAAAATAACAGTATCTATTCAAATTTTAACATTTCACACATCGTCACAAAATTACGGACAACCTTCTTACCCCTACGAGTTTCACGTCTTTTATGAACTACTCTTAACTTACAAATTCAACACACGAATCAAGCTCGTCTGGGGTCGTCCATAAATGACGTCACACTCATAGGGGGAGGGGGAGTCACTAATTTTGTGACGGCGTGTGATTAGGGGGGGGGGGGGTGGGTCAGATGGTGGGACGTCACATTTTTGCATTAACAAAAAGTTCGAAAACTAATTTTAGCCGTTATTTCGCGTTTGGGAAATAAATTGGAATTGGAATTGATTAAAATACTCTATGTTGAAAGAGTTCAGACAAGATTTTGGAAAAATATCGATGTTTTAAGAAAATTCAACTGCAATTTTGAGGGGGATTGGAGGCTGAGGTGTGACGTCATTTTATTTTTTGTGACGACGTGTGACGGAGGGGAGGGTGGGAGGTAAAAATCGTCAAAAAAAGCGTGACGTCATTTATGGATGACCCCTCTTTGAAATTTCCTTTTGTTGTAAATATATTTTATGACGTAAATACAAAGACATAGTTGTCAGAAATTCAAGAAAATAAGCATAACACAGCACAAATTATTTTGGTATCAATTGGTATAACCAAAAAATTAATAGGTTTAACATATTTTTTAACGTAACACAATGAATCTCTAAAGCAAATAAACAAACGCATGTTATTACATTTAAAGTTTTTTTATTTCTTCAATTGAAAATAAAGTAAACCAATTTAAAGTAGGTAATTAAAAATGCATTAAAATTTATTTTCCCTTTCAGTTGAAAAATGCACAACATTATAGTCCAAATAAGTTAAAAGATTACTCGAACAGATCAGTAACCTATATGAGGATAATGATATAATCTTTATATCTGATATACGAGTCAATCATAGGTTTTTCTAGAACAGATCAGACATGGTAATTTTCAAATCTTTGCTCCTTTTATTTTTTTTTATTTTTTTTTAGCTATTGTCTGTTTTTTATTTAATGATATTAATAGTAATACAAAAAAAAATAATAATAATTAGTTTTGTTATGATTATTATTATTATTATTATTAGTAGTAGTAGTAGCAGTAGTAGTAGTAGTAGTAGTAGTATCATCATCATATTTATTATTATTAATATTATTATTATTTTTTTTTTTTTTTTCAAATCTTTGCTCCTGAGGCTGGATGACTTAAAAATTCTGTTGTCCATGGAGAGTAATGGGCAGAGGTCAAAATATATATTCTCTTTTTTAATTTTAAAATTCCTGGGCGCTCACTTGAAAGATCCAATTATAAAGCGCAGACAGCGAAAACCGTCCAGAGAGGATGAAAATTATTTAACAAGGAATCGTGGCATAAAATATATTTACTAATTGTAATATTTGTGAAATGGATAGCAAAGGTAAATAGCGAAGGCTAACACCAACAACCCACAAGCGACAAAGATGTATTGAAGGTTATTTCCCTTTGGTTTACTGATTCCCTCCCTTGGTAGTTTACTGTGTCTCAAAGAGAGACAACCCTCTGTGTAAGCTGTGTAACAGATGTCACGTGCTTGGTTCCAGTTGCTGTCTGGTCCAAGCAGACGATACTGTGCTGAGAACATAGGACCATACCAGCATCTGAAGGCCAGAACTGGGTCAACGATGAGCAGTCTCCAGAAACCAGGGAATACACCCAGAAGCTTGGCTATTGTGTCTTGGAATTCTAGACACGGCAGCTAAAATTAAAAACAAACTCCAGAAAATCATAACGGTTTATTTTTCAAAACATAATTGTTGCATCTGTTAGACAGTGGTTATATATCTGTGTATTATGTGATCAAACATACTCACATAATAATAATATTTTCTGTTTCGATTTCGAGTACACAACTTTATCCAAAACTGGACATCGGCTTTCATGACGTCGACAGGAGGAAGACTTAACTTACCCGCAAATATTTTAGCACTGTACCGGCTCTGTGAACGATCACATTTGTGCCAATAATTCAAACCTTTTATTGAGGTCTCATCTACCGAATCCATTGTAACACAGAACAATTCTAATTTTGTTTTGTTATAATAAAAAATATATAAACAACTTAAATTTAGTAATTATTTTTAAAAAATTAATATCTGAAAATATATTCAAAACTGAACTAAAACAACAAATGCCGAATGACCTCTTTAACTGACTCATTGCAACACTTCTCATTTCTCTGTTATATTCTCATACTTTGTGTATTACATCTATGTAATATCTTTTCTTTAATCCAACTTTTTAAATTCTATGTTAATGTTATTTCTTAAATATTATTTATATTTTTAATTAAAAAATGTTATTTTGTTTAAAATAAAACGGCCAATGTGAAAAAAAGACCACTGTGCCATTGTTGTTACCGTTATTGAATAGAGAAATAAAATAAATTAACTACTCCGTTGAATCTAAAAAGTGATTAAGTTTAGAAAATTTGACTTATATTGTAGCAACATATATTTATGTCCAGTTAAAGTGAGCCGTTGTATTAAATACGTGCATGTGCATGTCAATTCGTGTTACACTACCATTCAAATTAAATTAATACTCACCTGTAACTCACTCATGGGTACAATAGAGGAAAATCCTCCAAAAGCTCCGATAAATCCCAATGTGTGTTTCTCTTCATCGATCGGAAACACCATTTTATAAAGCCCCATTTTATCAAATTCTGATCGATTACAGAGAAATTATGAAATTATAAAAATTGAAATATAAGACTTTCAATTCTAGAAAAAAATGCTTAAGATAAAAGAAAGTTTTACTAAAGACAGTACATTTTGAAGTCATGTGTCTTATGACACAACCTGTCCTTTTTAAGATATTGAATTAGAAAACTCGTTACCTTGTAGCAAATCCTGATCAAGGAAAGAGTACTCCGGCTCATAACCAGTGCATAGAACAATCGCATCAAGGCCCGTCACTCGTGTCCCATCCTGGAAAACAGCATCGCACCCATCGATTCTTGCAAGATGACCGTAAGTTTTTATTTGACCCGACATCAAGGCAGTCTGAAAAACCACGTACAGTGATGACCTATTTGATTTTACTGATATTTCAAAACACAATTCCCAGCTTTTAAGCGAATTTCATGATGAGCCACTATTAACTTTTGATATCTTATATGTATTTTGTCAACACACAGCTTTGGTGCATTTATATCGTCTTCATTTGACCTGATTTCAAGGCAGGCTAGTTAAACAATGGAGGTTACATAAAGCCAAGTCAACAAAACTTTACACAAAGATCTCGTGATCAAGATCTTCATTAAGCATAAAATAGCTTAAGTAAATATTTTTACTTTTCTCAGTAAGCTGTAGCCACCAGCAAAATACGCGTCTGTGTTTATAGAATAAAAATGTTTTCTTGTGTAAAATAAAAAATTCGCTCAATCGTAATCATGTTGTGGGGAAGGTAACACTAAACAGTGACTGATTTATGGTTGTACACATCTCACTATAGATGAGTACAGAGCAATATAAATTATTTATTTCAAATAATAATTCATTAATAACAAAGTAATAATACAACACCAATTCTAATAAAGAAACAATCTCAAATAAATATATGAACAAAACACATACACACTAAGACAAATATTTACAAAAATCAAGAAACAAACGAAAAAACATAAAGTCAGACTTTTAGAGGGAAATAGTTCTAACATAAATAGCATCGCCAACCATCCATGAAGAAAGAGATGGAGGCTGGTCTGGGCAGATACCACTAGTCACATGGTCTATCTTGTTTTGTGCCTCAGAGATTAAGATTGTGTTGATAATTTTCTCAGGATTCCACGAGTAAATGTCGCATCGTCTCTTGCAGATATCCAATGGCCTGCCACCTGAGAGTATTCGAGGTACTATCCAGGTACCCTGACGCAGTGATATGTGCACCTATTAATAGGATAGTAATTAGCGAATACTAATATGCCAAATGGGATAACACTAGGTATACTATTTCTTTTTACTTTGCTAAATATATAAATTATTCCAGTAAGTTAAGCTGGTACATCTTTAATTAGTACAAGAGCAGGATTAAAAGAGTCATTTCTGAAACTATGTCACTGACCTGTTTTGCTTGAGTAGAAATATCAAAGCTGATGTCTCCCGCTGAAAATGAATTGCCTGAAAATAATTTTAAGAATAAAATAATGACTTAGTTTTCATACTTTAAAGAATACGACAAAATCGATGTATTGGACAGTTGTTGTTTCTGCGCTTGATTCTTTGTAATTTTGTTGAATGAATTGAGTGAACAATTGTTGAGGCGCGTAAAATAAAACATTGTGTTTCATAATTTCAAAACAACGATGCCATACACACTAGCAAGAAACATAGTTATTTACTTAAAATAAAATTAGTAAGATATGTGACTTGACATTTGGAAGTAAAGTGCCGGAAGACATTCATAAACTGCAGGATAAAAAAGGTATAAATTACAAACGAAAAGATTGGGGCTGATTCATATGGGCTGGGATAATGAAAGTGTATCGGATGGTAAGTCCAAATGAAAACTTGTACCCTATTTTTGCAGATAAATGTATTAAAATTAACGGTTTTAAAAATTATTTGATACACATTTTCAACTTTTTTTATTGTGTAGCATGAATAGTATTGTATATGTTGTAATACATGTATTTATAGAAAACAACTCACCTACAACAAGAACATTTTTGTTCTTAAATTGAGAGCCGTCTGTGTAGTGAAAAGAATGTTGAACAGTCCCTGCAAACGTTTCCAGACCTGGGATGGATGGGTACACTGGAATTCTAAAATAAAACATATAGGCTTGCTTATATAATGTATGCGTTTTTTAAACTAAAGAAAACTATTCAATGTTTGAATTTTATTAACGTTTCGAGCTTTTAACAAATTTCCGATGGAGTGGTTTTAGCTTTTATTTTACCTATTTGTTTAAATTTATTTGTTTTATTTAAATTTGACAAAAATTTTATTGTCGTTTTTTTTTACAAGAAAAGTTAACATCTATCATTAAAAATGTTTATTATTAAACTAAGTAAACTTACTTAAAAAATCCATTACAAATTAGTACGAAATCAAACATCCGTTGTTTGCATTTTTGCAAATCTATGATTTTAGATTTACTTTCAGTACTGACGTCATCAGAACTACACCGGCTAGTAGGACATGAAAACACCTCCCATTGGCCAGTTTTCTTGTGGTCACGTGTCTTGCAAATCTATATACATGTATTTAAGAAAATGGTAAAATTCTTTAAGTGCGTGATATTTTATTGTAAACATTTCGAGAAATAGTTTTACAATTAATAACATACCTTCACGACTTGTGTATTGAACTGAATACAAGGCAATAACTGATTGTCCTTTGCATATCTTTTATAGTAAGCATGCATTTCCTAAGGATAAAGTGGAGGCTTAGTTTCGTTTAGTAATGAAACAGGTTTATTTAATAGAGTAAAAGCCTAAAATCCTTGTTATATGAATTGTAGGATAAAATAAAACACAAGCAAGTAAACTACAAATTAGCACCTACTTGACCACGAAGAAACGGTGTGTCTTCTGCTAAGGGTGGATAGTCGCTGAAAGTTGTCAAATATTTACTGGAGTTTGTTATGAGATTCTCCCATATTTGTGGGGTGTTTGGGTGTTTAACGTTTCGTTTATCACTCCAGATACCACCTGTGCAAGGCACATAAATAGTCTAAATTATATATATATATATATATATATATATATATATATATATATATATATATATATATATATATATATATATATATATATATATACATGTTTCTAGATGCCTGTAAGCAAATGGCTTTGGTTGAAAATGTATTATAGCTGTGCTCTGTTTAGCTTTATCAACTCCTGGTGCTTTATCACAGATAGTTCGGTCAACATTAATGTTACCTCGAGCTGAAGGCATGCGCGTGGCCTAGTGGTAGAGCGCTAGACTGATACACCGAAACTCTTAAGTTCGAATCCTGTTGAAGACAGTAGAATCTCCCCGAGTCAACCCAGCTCTAATGGGTACCTGATTATCGTTAGTTAACAAAACACGGCAGGGGATAGTGCTGTCCATACTATCCCCTTGTACGACGAGAAACATATTGACTCTACTTCATCTGCCCCGTATGACTTGGGCACAAACGGGTAAAGATGATGACGACGAGCTAAATGAATGTGTCTTTTTAATCTATAATCAAACAAATGAAACGAAGTACTGCACATATAAGATAAGAAACAATGGCATCTGACCTACGTCCGAGTCCAGTTCGTAGCATGTGACCTTGAACCCTTCATTAAGGCATTCTTTAATGGCAACAAGTCCAGACATTCCAGCACCAACAACACAGACATGTTTAGTTGAGGCTGTGGACATTTCTCCCTGCAAGCGGATCCTGTAGCAGATAATGCTGATAATTATTATTTTCAATATATAGTTAGTTATATTATAACTATAAAGATAGAGAGCAATCGTTTTAAAAAGATGTATTGTGACATTTATTGTTTATAACTAAATACGCCTTGTAAAATTTCTTACACACACACACACCTGTTTTCAATATATATATATATATATATATATATATATATATATATATATATATATATATATATATATGTATATATATATATATATATATATATATATATGTATATATATATATATATATATATATATATATATATATATATATATATATATATATATATATATATATATATATATATATATATATATATATATATATATTATTATATTCTAACGAACCGGTCCCCGCGCATTGCCGCGGCATTAGCCCATGGCAAATCGCAGCCTATAGGTACAGCGGCGGACACAGTCTATCTCACAGTCTTAAACTAACGTAGGCGCCACAGAGCTCACGGGAAAACTCGGGCGACAAATTTTGTTTTTTTCTGCAGAAACCTCAACAGGAGTATTGTCAACAACTTCCCAAAGTTTCATAGTGATCGGTTGAAGGGTGTAGTAATGCATAAAAGACAAATACAATCTGTCGAAACATATAAAGTGGGTTTTAACAATGCTTTACCAATCCTATATTCTAAAACTGAATTATTTAAATGTAAACAATGCCAGCGCTTCGATCATGTTTATCGGGGCACGGGTCTACCTACACTATCGCCCTGCACGACGCCATGAGGCGTAGTGTATGAAAGGCTTGAGCGTACGTTACTCAATCGTAGAAGTGTGTTCTCGTGAACCCCGGTTACAGTTTAGCTGGGCACTGCGTACGGCCCCTGGCTCGGTTTAATCATAAAATGTCGTGCGCCGCCTTGTCAATATTGTAGAGTGCTCCTTAAACTAACGTGTTCACATTACAGCTGAGGGAGCCAAATAAAAAAAACACAAACACACACACACATATATATATATATATAAATATATATATATATATATAAATATATATATATATATATATATATATATATATATATATATATATATATCTATATATATATATATATATATATATTTATATATATATATATATATATAATAGGTTGATCTAGTAGCCAATTAGTACTATTTAAAACATTTCTAAACATAAAATAGGTTGTTGTCGAAACCAAGCTGTGATATGTATTACATTTCTAAATAGGACAACATCTCTTCTAGTTTTTATTACTGTAAAAATATTTAGTTAAAATGCTACTAGTTTTGATTATGGTAACAAAAAAAAGAATAAACTTCCATAATAAGGGTGATTCTTTTTATTTAAAAAAAATGAAAATTTTAAATGGCTTCACTAAACAAACTTTTAAATGCCGTACATTCACATTTGTTTTGAAAATAACATGTAGATCTGAAAACGGTTATAACGTTGATGAAATAATAATGATTAATTTTAAGTATTTTTTTTCTCACGAGCTTTAGAAACACATGTTTCTTATTTTAGCAGTAACACTCAAGATTTTGATAACAAATTTTTGTTGTTTTTGTTTAATAATTTTTGATAAATTACCACGTTTAAAGATTATTTTTAAAAAACTTAATTTGTTGAACTTTGGCGATATGAAGGTTCATTGTGTCAGCCCTAAGGCTTTGGGAAGCAATTTATTTAAGTAGATAACTAAACTTCCAAATTGATATTCATTCATCAGTTTTAATTAAGTTCAACTTTGTCTCAACTGTTTTATTATAGATTTTTCTTTAATAGTTTAGACACCAGCATAAACCTGTTTATTTTATGGCAAGCTTCTGTTAATTGCTGGAAGCAACACTTAATTAAGTTACGTTATAGATCAAATTTCAATTTTAAAACTATGTTGATACATTTAACGTAAGTTTTCGAGTTAAATAACTATTCACTAACCTGCAATTTTTGCCCAGGGACTGACGAGGATTAAGAAGAACCTGAAATTCTCGATGTATAGAACTGTGGCATATATACACAAATCTTAAAACTATGCATCAAAATCGCATACGAGAATGACCCGTTGATAATTTTTGTTGTTTTCAAATATTTTTTTTTTTTTTAAACTACAAAACCGTCTGAAATATGATGTCTATAAGAATACAAGGCAAACTACAGAACATTGTCTTGAGTATTGAGATTAGTTTTCCTTACACAAAGCATAGGCCAGACCGATGGTTCCCAATATATGGGTCATGACTATCAGGAATGATCGCGAATAGGTTATGGGATTCGCCCACATGTAGACTAAAAAATACAATTCACTAAAATGCAGTTTTACATTTTTTTAAAAAGTACATGACGTCATTTATCCTCTGCTTCCCTTGCTTTTTGCCAGTATCCCGAATACTTACAATATAAATTCTTGGATTCGCGGAATGACACCACATACTTACTATGTTTAATTTAATGAAAAACCTGCTTACACATGTGTGCTGTGTTATGTACGATTCACACCGAATTGTGACGACGATTGCTTTTCTCGTTTTATTTCCCTGTGTTTCTAAGTACCTCTGCAAGAGTGGATTTTCAACACTTCTCGATTAAAATTTACCAAAAATAAATAAATTAGGATGTTGAGAATGACAAGTGCTTGACCTAAACAAAACGCAACTGCGAAATTTAATGATAATTAATAGCGTGCAATTTCACATTTCACATTAAATCATTTTTCAAAAGAGATTTAAAAAAAATATTCTATAAAATCTCATTTTCGTGTCTTTAATTGCCTTTTAAAAATGTCCTTTTTTTTAGTTGCAGGGGTGTTGCAAGTCACATGGCTTTTTTAAAAAGGGACACCACTCACACAACTTTTGAACCTGTGACCAAGGCAATATAATTTATTGAGAACTAGATAACACATCGAAGAGGGGCGTTTTTCAAGTAACGATAAAAACAAACAGTACTGGCTCTTCATAGTGACAAATTTAAAGCTATCATACTGTTATAAACAGAGGGGGGGGGGGGTCGTCTAAGAGTGACGCTACTAGGATAACAACAATACATGACATTTTTATTACATACATTTTGATGAGTGGGGGGGGGGGGGTTGCATAATAAGACCACACAAAGAGACAGTTCTTACGATGCTGTATTTTATAACGACGCTTTAAGTGCGCTGGGAGTAGTATATTAGGTCCCTTTTGATTAGTATCCGCAGGCGCAGGCGCACCCAGGATGCGCAAAGGATATATAGGAAAATACTCGGATGCGCAGGGGGATGCGCAGGCGCCGCAGGGACAACGAGATATAGTAAAATACTCGGGATGGGGATGCGCCGCAGGGACAACGAGATATAGTAAAATACTCCAGCCGCAGGCGCAGGCGCAGGGTGAAGGAGCCGCAGGCGCAAAGACATATAGTAAAATACTCCGGATGGGGATGCGGATGGGGATGGGGATGGGGATGCGGATGGGGATGGGGAGGATGCGCAGGGATGCGGATGGGGAGTAGGTCAGTAGGTCAGTAGGTCACCGGTGGTGACCTTGTGACGTAATCAGTGACCTAGTTACGTAATTTTAATGCGTTTTTTAATTAGTTTGAATTTAATTAATTTGATTTTAATTAATTTTTATTAACGAGTTACGTAATTTGATTATTTGTTTGATTTTTTAAATTAGTTTGTATTTTAATTTTTAAGTTTTTTAAATTTTATTTTTTAATTTTAATTTTGTAATCATTGACCTAGTTACGTAATTTTAATGAGTTTTTAAAATTTTAATTACTTTGTTTACTTTTTAATTATTTTTATTTTGTTTTTTAAATTTTATAGTTGTTTATTTATTTTATTTTGTAGTTTGTATTGACGAGTTACGTAATTGGATTATTTTGTTTATTTTAAATTTTAAATTTTTTTTTTTTTTTTTTTTTTTTTTTTTTAAATTTTAATTATTTTTATAATTACTTTGAAATTTAATTTAATTAATTTGATTTTAATTACTTTGATTAATTTATTTATTTGATATATTTCTTTTCTTTGTTGTTTAATTTGTTGGTTTGTTTATTTGGTTGTATGTATGTTTTAAATTCTCCCCTACAACGAACGTGTACAAAAAACAGGTTAAAGTCTCCACCACAACGAACGTTACAAACATAGAACATCCATTAAAGATAACGATCAGCCACAGCTGTTACGTATCGACCCGCCCGCGAAGTTTTCTCACCGCTGCCCGTTTTAATGGGAATGTATTGATCGCACCCACGGGACATCACACCTAATTAAATTTTGTTACGCCTCGTCGATTTTATGTGTTGTTCACGGACGCGAACACCGTAGGGTCCGGTGTTTAATGAGGTCCATTAAGCGCGTCTCCGCGTTAAGTGTGGGAACACCTGTTACCACGTTAATCGATTTTACCGTTCGCTTTGTTAGCTCCGCGAAGTATGTAGGTCATTATGCACCAGCTGTTGTGCGACAGCTGGTGGTGTAATTAGGTTGAGCAACCGTATAAATGACCGCGAAAATTGTGTTCTAAACACTTCGACTTCGGACTTCAAATCAAGCGTCACAGCGACTTATCCTGGATGAGACCTCTGTTGACTCCTGAGACTAAACCCACGCCAGCTTTACCAAGCATCACATCTAACTAACCCTACACAGACCACATCTTTTGTGCGTGTTTATTCTATTAAAGGTAAGGTTAATATTACTTTTGTTTTATGGGCGCTAACCCTATTAAAATCAAATCTTATTAAATAAGTACGCACATGTATTTAATTTTGTATCGTACACCGAGGTAAGGTTAATAGTACGTATTGTTTTAAGGGAACTAACCCCATTAAAATACCCTTTAAATAAATATGTATCTAAATAAGTAGGCAACTGTATTCCTTTTTTAGTGTACAATCGACCCAACAAGACAACCAGTGAGCTACCCACCCAGCCCTGAGGCATCCACTGAACC